CCCCGGATGGCTGCGCTGAGCCTGGCGGACCCCGGCCAAGCCAGGCGACGACTGCGAGCGCAGGATCACGCGCCATCAGAACCGCACGGCTTGGCCGGCTCCACAGTGAGGCTCCAACTTAAGGGGCCCATTTCGAGGAAATGGACACATTTTCCTCTTCAGTTACCGGCGAGTGATTTGAGACGCAACGCGCATCATTGGTGAGAAGCGCACATCTAAACCAGACCTTTGTCGACGATGTAGAGAGGAACAGCCCGTTCGTTTTCGTTGGCTCACGATGTCACGCTGCAAAGTCGTATACTATGCGGCTTGCACCGGATGGACTGACCGGAGCAGTGAAGCAGATCCGGCTCCCGGCAACGCTATGTTAGCGGGCAATGATCGATTTTACCAGCAGGCTGATCCGCCCTGCAGACTTACACCCTGGCCATATACCACAGATATGCACACAGATAGAGCACTATTGGTTCGGGGCCAGTAACACGGGAATTGTTCAGAGGAACTGGAGCGAAATTGCGCTGGTAACGGTAGTTATATGTCAGAAGCCTTGCTGCAGAATACTGGATCTAGCCGCATCCTTGCATGTAAAAGGAACAAAACTGCATTGAAATATCCGAGCAGTCAAATGGCTACATTTTTCGGTTGCAAAACTGAAATACGAAACGTCACTACTACGTCGATACTGTACATAACATATTTTAATATCACAGGGAACAGAGACACAAAGGAAGGTCCAAACTACAGCTCGTTTGATACATGGCATCCTCTTTAACGCAACAGTAGACGCTTTCGGGAAACCCAACTTCTAGTAGGCTCTATGGACGTCTGACGTCGCCCATGGCAGGCCACTGTCAGAGGCCGAACACACAGGGCAACGGCTCAGTCGATGGCAACTGACAATGGCAACTGGCAATGGCGACTGCCAATGACAACTGGCAATGGCAGCTGTCAATGGCAACTGGCACTGGCAATGGCTCAGTCGCCTGGCCGGGACAACGACTTGAAGCTTGCACTCTTGTCTTGAACTGCTGACCTCAGAAGTGCGGTGGTTGGAGCTATTCATGCTGATACATTCACCGGATGCTGAATGCGCAGGCATTGCAGGTCTGTCCGTAGTCCATGCCATTGGCTCGAGTCACCAACACCGTGGTTACCAATGCACTTGGTTTTACCCCATATGATAATCAGTCCTCTAGACGTTTGTCACTAGCTGCCATTGGTTCTCCATAGCTGGAGTCTTTTGGCTATCCACGTCGACTTAAGCAAGACGAAGTGTGTCACACCACTTTTAAGTGATGCAGAACATTCTTTCAACGGAATGCTTACTATTTCCAGCACAGATTGTCAAAATCATGTAGCGAGCCAGTTTCCGCGTTACCCACAACCACCAAGCTTATTAACATAATCTGCTTCGCCCTGCCCTGTATATTGCTGAATTTCCGCGGAAAGTTAAAAATGCAATTAATGATCGGCAGGACATGTGCTTGACGCCGGTCCAATGCCATTTTGTGGTAGACATCTCCGTAAAAGGGTGCAGTCATTTTACACGCGATGTGCAACTTTCAAGTTTCCACCCTTGTCAAGTCACTGGCATGTTGAAGTGTTTTGAAGAGAGAGAGAGAGAGAGAGAGAGAGAGGAGAGAGAGAGAGAGAGAGAGAGAGAGAGAGAGAGAGAGAGAGAGAGAGAGAGAAGAGAGAGAGGAGAGAGAGAGAGAGAGAGAGAGAGAGAGAGAGAGAGAGAGAGAGAGATGAGAGAGAGAGAGAGAGAGAGAGAGAGAGAGAGAGAGAGAGAGAGAGAGAGAGAGAGAGGGTGAGAGAGAGAGAGAAAGAGAGAGAGATAAAGGGAGGGAAAGACAGAGAGAGAGGGAGAGAGAGAGACAAAGACAGAGAGAGGAGAGAGAGAGGGAGAGAGAGAGAGGGGAGAGAGGGAGAGAGAAGAGAGAACATACGTAGATATCGTTGATTTATGAATTTTGACACCAGCAAACTGGGTGTGAACTTAGTAGAAGCACCAATGCCCCTCTGGGCAAAAGCTAACGGGACCGCTGAGGCAGGTGAGGCTTGATGAATATCTTCTTCTGTCCGCTGATATTCGTTACGAGCTCTATACTTGTTGTACATCAGTCAAAACGACATATTCCTTCTTACTACATGTGACGTAAATGTCACCTCTTTATGATTCCTGATATAAATCGTGGATACTAGTGTTTTGCCCATTTATCTTTTTATCGCTGCAGGCTTTGTTGGAGGCCCCAGGCGGTGCTAATCCGTCTGAGTGGTAGTGTTACCCTGTGTAGACGGCGCTGCTGACCTATCGGAGAAATGGGGCCATTCTACCCGGATAGAAACTGAGGAACAGCATCGGTGATAGAAATGGCCTCAATATATTGTGGGACCTCCAGTTGTATGTGTCATGATGATGATACCTGTTTGTTTTTGTGTCGACTTGCCCAATTATTGGCTAATGCCGCCCTGTTTGCACTCAAAGCCATGCTATCTAACTAAAGATTCCATCTAATCGGCATCATTGCTGCTCTGGATAGCCATCATACATGAATAGTTTACCGGGAGAGGCGGCCCCTATTCACCGTGGCACGTCCAGCCGGAGATTAACACCCATATTGGGAACGGAGTGACCAAAGGCGCGACACATTCTCTTAAGGAAATCTGCCGAAGGAGCATGCTCAACAAGCAGGGCAGCGAAAGTAAAAACCAAAAGCAACGGCATCATTACCATACAATTAGGGGCTTATCAGAAAAGATCAGAAGAATCTGTTGGCGATACAACACCAAGGCAGTCTTCAGAGGCAGATGAACACTCCAGAGCGCATTTACCAGTCAGACCGCCAACACCGGAGGAGCACAAGACGAACGGCATATGGACATACCATGCAGCTGTGGCAGGTCCTACGGCAGGTGGATGAGTCGCCCCCTGCTGGTCAAACTGGAAGGGCTCGGAAAGGCAGGGTGAGACTTTGAGGTCAGGTAGTGGCAGGACATGCACAGTCAGACAGCGATCACCGAGCAGCATGGGATGAGATGACCGTCATCAACAGGAGAACAACACTGCCAAGTGAGAAAGATCATAGAGGCAGCACACATGGCATTGGCTCACAGCCCCAGCCGTAAGCCAAGCATAGACATCAGCCCAATACGGCATCCAATTGTGCGGAAAATCCCTGAATTTCCAGGAAATGAATGACACAAGTTTCAACACCAAAGGATTGCCCTGCCCGAGTAGCTCAATCGGTAGACTACTGGACTCGCGAGCAGAAGGCCCTGGTTAGAATTAGACTCACGCGGTCACGTGGTCATGATGCTGGTCAGATGAACTTGCATAAGGACCGCTCC